TTCCCCTGGGTGCAGGACCTGAACGCAGGTGAGTGTGTTTTGCAGGAGGCTCTGGATACACTCAGTCTGATGCACCACAACAAATTATTAATGCTGAGAGACAGTTTCTTTAGAGGGAGTAACAAGATGGAAAGGTCAGAGGCTCTGGGCCATGTACAAAGTAGAGCAAAGATGTGTGGATTTCCTCTGCTCTGCAGAAAGATCGCATTTGGGTCAAAACACCATTTCCGTTACTTAGGTGGAATCAGACAAGTTCACGCTTCTCATAAAGTTTTACGAAGAAATCTAGCATGCCTTGGCTGATGGTCATGTTCCTAATCCATGACAACATAAGACAAAACTTAGTTGCTAGAATTTTTAAAGCCACTGTCAAAGGTGATGTCTGCAAGAGCTGTTCACTGGCAGCTTTTGTTTTGTATCATTAACGGTTTCCCATGAAAATGGAAAGTAAAAAATGGAAACATTTTGCTTTTTAAGTAAAATGAAAAACCGTCAAAAGATCACAGGTATGTAGCTCTGAGTTCATTTGTATTGGCAAACAAAATGCTGGTGTTTATCTGACTTCTTTATGGCTTCGTTACTGTAGTAATCAAGCTGAGTAACAGCAAGAGAAGTGCGTAGGGCTTAAACAAGGAGAAGGAGACATCTATGTGAAGATTTGCTTGGGCAGAGGGAGGCCATCCTAGTGTGGTGCACGTAGGGAAGCTGGAGGCGTTCGTATCCACAGCATGTGGGCTCTGAGGAAGGATCAAAGCAAATGAGCTGTTGCTGGTGGAACGGTGGAAAGAAATGAGAGAGAAAGGAGTGTGGATGAATGAGATCAGGATGAGAGCAGGATGTGAGGTTGTTGCAATCCAGTAACACGTCCAAGAAACTTTTCTGGTTTGCAGTGCGCAGAGTATGTGCATATATAAAAGGGCCAATAAAAAGATCCGTCAACTCTTTGGCTGTTAATGTTGCACATGCCATCAAAGCAGCAATAAAAGTGATAAGCGCTCACTTCAGAGAAGCCTTCAGCTGGATTTATAATGCATATTGTTTGTTTTGTGTGAGAGCTGGAAATTAAATATTTTAACATCAAAGGTTGCTGAAGTGTTTTCTGCTTCTATTTTATGGACAAAATAGTAATATCCATAGAATTCTATGGATAAAATACCAACACTTTTCATGTTAAGCTAAAAATAAGGTTGGAGATTTTTTTTTTTTTTTTTCTTCCAGACATGACATGGCCTTGGTCTTCAGGGAACCTTGCACAAAGATTTGGCCTGGCCTGGCCAAGCCAAGTTGCCACTGGGGTTTGACTGCTTTGCATTTCCACGTGTGAAGCAGCTCTCTAGTCCAAGGCACTGGTTGCTGGCAGGGCTTTTTTTTCCCCCAATGCGTGACACTCCCGTGTTCCCAGGCTGCTTGTGGCTCTGTTAAATGAGAAATGGTTTTTCTTCCCCATGTTCTGCAGGGCCTTCGGTCACCAAGCGTGCAAACCGCTGATGCAAGAGCATAGCAACATAGAGCCTCTTATTTAAAAGAAGGATAGATGAGGTGCTTAGGGACATGGTTTAGTGGTGGGATGGCAGGGTTAGGTTAAAGGTTGGACTCGATGATCTTAAAGGGCTTTTCCAACCAAAGGGATTCTATGATTCTATGATTTCAAGTCCTCTGTTATTGTGTTATGGTAAAGAAAGTGTCTTGTTGGGAGTAGCCCTGGTATTTTTAGTGCAATGTGATAACTCAAAACAGCTTTGTGAAGAAGATTTCTCCTGAGCTGTGGACAGAGTCCACGCTCTTCGTGCCCTGTTTGGCTAGCCATCCCTGTCCCGGTTAGCCCAGCCACTGTGGTGTGTGCACGTGTTATGGGCACCCAGTGCTGCCCTGCCTTGGTTTCCCTGCATATCATATAGGGGTGATGGTTTGTAAATGTCTTTAAAAACAATTTTGAGATCCTTGAGTGGCTGCAGGCCGCTTGAGGGCAGAGCACGAGAATTAATGGACAGGACTGCAGGCTCCTGGTTGGATTTTCACAACCCAGCAGGTCTCTCTTGTAAAATTTTCAAGGATTAAGATGGGGCATGTGGTGCTTATAAGATGATTTTCTTGCTGAAAGCATCCAGCTGCTCTATAGTTTTTGCCACACTTGGGGGCAAACTTTAAATAGAAGCCAAACACAGATACCTGGAGCACTGGGTCCAGTTCTGGGCTCCCCAGTTCAAGGAGGATGAGGAACTCCTGGAGAGAGTCCAGAGGAGGGCAACAAGGATGATGGGGGGACTGGAGCATCTCCCCTCGGAGGAAAGGCTGAGGGAGCTGGGCTTGTTCAGCCTGGAGAAGAGAAGGCTGAGAGGGGATCTCATCACCACCTACAAATATCTCAAGGGTGGGGGTCACGAGGATGGAGCCAGACTCTTCCCAGTGGTGCCCAGCGCCAGGACAAGGGGCCATGGGCACAACCTGAAGCAGAAGAGGTTCCAGGTGAACGGGAGGAAGAACTTGTTGACTGTGAGGGTGCCCGAGCCCTGGCCCAGGCTGCCCAGGGGGGCTGTGGAGTCTCCTTCTCTGGAGATCTTCAACCCCCGCCTGGCCGCTGTCCTGTGCCCCCTGCTCTGGGTGAGCCTGCTTGGGCAGGGGGGTGGCACTGGGGGAGCTCTGGGGGGCCCTGCCAGCCCCGGCCGGTCTGGGATTCTGTTACATGCTGAACACGATGAGGATGCTCTGCTGTCTTTTTTTGGGCCACAATCGCAATTTGAAATACATTCATGTTAGAGAGTGGATGATAACTCCGACTCCTACATTGCTGCCACCTGTTGCACAGCCAGAAGTGCCATTGGTTTGTTTTTTTTTTTTGTAGGAACCTTGATTCCCAGAGCTGCCAATGTAGTTCTCTGTATTTGCTAACAAGAAATGAGCTTTTTCAACTAAGTTGCACAAAGCCCTATGGAAAACCGAAATATTTATAAGTATAAATTGGGCAGCACAATTAAGAGGTGTGTCACGAGGAGTGGAAAAATGAGGCCTCTGCTTTCAGCAGCTGCAGGTGTCAGCAGGCAGGTGGCGGAGGCATTAGCTCCTCAACGAGGAGGTGAAAATAACTCTCCTTTTAATTGCTCTGCTTCCCTGGTGGTCTTGAGGGAAATAAAGCCTTTACTAGCCTGAGCAAAAATGCTTCTATAAACTTGCGAATGGAGAGCATCACCCACCTTGGCTGTGCAAAAAAACCCCCATATTGCAGTGGGGCTTTTACCCTGCAGCCATTACACAAAGAATTCTCGTTGCTTTATGGACTTTGGCTACGTTGACGCTATACGTCAGACCTGAGCTTGCCCGTGAACTTGTTCTCAGTTGCTTGCTGATATGATTAAGGAGAAAGATTGGGTAATGCTGAGGTCGATGCTTCAGGCAGCTCTCACCGAGGCCACTAGAATTCGTTTGTTTTTCTGAACATCTGATTTGTCCTTTAATCTGACTTTTTTTTTTTTTAAACTTAATATGCCCCTATGATTTGCAGTCTACTTATGCAAGCCAACAAAGTTTATCTAGGCCTCCCCAAAATCATCTTGACGTCTTGTTTGCATACTGCCCTGCGAAAAGCTTTAGCACAAACAGCAGATATCTTTATGTACCTGTGAGTTTGTATGTGGGAAAAGCCAAGCACTGGAAGACGGCAACTAAACTCAGTTTGCAGAGGTCAGATCCTCTCCATGGAGGGGCAGGGATGATCCCGCAGGGCTGGACCCCCTTGCCCGGGTGCGAGGCTTGCTGGTGCTCCCTTCTGGTCCACGTCAGACGTGTGGTAGGGGGACAACCTCTGTTTCCTCTTTCCCAGCAGGTTGTCACCATGTGGCAGAGGGATCATCCTTGTTCTGCAGAGGAGGCACCCCAGGGTTAGCAGTCGGGTCCCCCGTGCAGCACTGGATGGTTGTTCCAGCAGAGTGGGAAGGGTAGCGAGTCCTGCGAGGTATTGGATGCAAGGAGGAGTGTATACTTCTAAGGCCACGCAGGCAGCGTTTAATCTCAGAGCCTGCATCGTGCCTTGTTTCCAGCAAGAACAGGCAGTCGTGTCCAGCGCTCAGATCTCCAAACTCTGCTAGGAGGTGGTGACCCCGAGAGGGGCAGCCTGGTCCCCTTGTGTGCCCCTTTGAAACATTCAAACTCGTCACTCGTTCTTAGACTTGACCACAGTTTCAGGGTGGAAGAGAAGAAAGAGCTGCGTAAAGAGTAAATCCATGAGCAGCCACTTCTGTGGGGAGACCCACAGCACCTCCTGCTTTTTGCACTGATGGCCAGGTTGTTAATTTTGGGTTGGATTCCTGTGGCCAGGTACAAACTGCTGCATCTGCTGGGCGCTGAGTGCCATTGCTTCTTGTTGAGGACACCCAGGCTGCCCCTCCACCTCACCTTTGCTGTGATGAATTTATGAGAGCACCAAGCCTGCTCTCATCCTGCCTGCCAGAAAGCACCCAGCAGTGAGACCTTGCACAGCTTGATCAGGGCCGTGCAGGTTTTCATGGCAGGAAATTTGTGATGACAGCTTGGTTGCTGCCTTGACAGATGCCTGGGTTTTCAATATGAATGTTTAAACATTAATTGGAACTTTTAAATTTAAAGAACATTTAGCCTGAAGTTGGCTGTTGCAAAAAGAAGGGCCAGTGAACAAAATACCTGGGTGCTTTGCTGCGATTGCTGCTTTGCCCTCTTCTTTCTTTTATTTTTTCTTTTTTTTGCACTTTCAGGTGCAGCTGAGGTCCTGCATGGACTTGACTTTGCTCTTCCCAGGTGCTGCTTTTTGGAGATCCTGAAGCTGAGCAGTGGGGATGGGTAGAAAATTCCCAGCCACAGGTTTTGCTCCCTTCTAGAAACCACTTTCCTTAGCAAGTCATAAACCTTAAGACCGGAGCGTTGCTTAGTGCTCCGCATGCAAGACACCTTGTTGTTTCCAGCACTGGAGTGCAGTTGTCTGTGCTTTGGGCCATTGCAAATGGCAGAATCGGGATTAGCTCACTACCACTAACATTTCAGCTTAATGTTAAAACTTAGCAGACACTCAGTCTGTGTACCAAAGGGTGTCAAAGAAACAGTTCTTATAGTTTCTCTCAAACCCTCCACACTGGAGATTATACGAGCCCTTTCTAGAGCTGACAGCCATGCAAACTGGAGCGAGCTGCTGTATTTTTTTTTTTTTTTAAGAGGTTTGATTTTCGGGTGGTTTGTGGATGGAGTCAGCAGAACGCGTGGCTCCCGCAGACGAAGCGGTCGCGCCGGTTCCCCCCAGCTGCGCCCCAAGAGATGCGGGGTCTTTGTCTCGGTGCCATAGCCTGTGTCAGAGCCCTGTGAGCTGCCCGGGTGAGGTCTCGTTATGGCACTAATTAGAGAAGTCCTTGTGCTGGAGCAGGTTGTAACGCCGCTGCTGATTGTCTCCCTGGCGGATTAAAGGCAAACCCTCCTTAACAAGTGCCTTGAGTAGCTTGAGCCGCTGAACTCCCTAGGACCAGTAATTAATCCATCTGGTAACAAGGAGCATGGCTTGCAGATAGCAATTCTGGGAAGGAGGTTTTAACTGTTTTTGTACCGGGCAACTCAATGCCCTTAGCAGGTTTATTTGACTGAATAAACGGGGCCTTGACCGGGGGTCCTGACACATGTCGGGGTGACTGTTGGCCTTGCAGTATGGATGGGAAAGCTGCATCACGGACAGGCTTAGCCTGGGCTGGAAAAAAGGGCACCAAAGTGGTTGACGCTGTGTGCGAGCATGGGCGAGCTGGTGGCTCTTTTGTGCCTCCATTTATAATTTGGGGTTTTGGTACAGCTTCTCTGAGATGGCTTGGGATGTCCGTGATGGAGTGGAGGAACTGAAATGCAGCTGCTCCTCTGAGCAGGGGTGGTTCTTCTACGGTGTGCAGCAGATATGCTCTATATGGACCCACAAGTATATTGGATTTTTATTGCCTTTAAAGTCCCTAGCCATGGCTGCAAACTGTCTGGAATGTGGTAAACTCTGCATACAAAGAAATTGCTTGCTTTTTACCGAAACACACTTCAATTTTTCTATTTAACTGTGTAAGCTAGGGCCCACGTTACATCTTCCAGCTGGGCTATGGCTTTGAAGAGCAGTCCTGTGTCCGCAAGAGCTGCTGCAGATCCCAGTGCATTTAGCAGTGTGCTTAGGGACTTCAGGCTTTTTGCAGAGACCACAGAGACAATCTGCAGTCTCCTGTTCCTCTGAAGCATTCCTCCCTCCCTCCATCTGACAGATGTTAGAGGGGACTTTAGTACGTTGTCCCTGGGCTAAGGTGGAAAAGGCAGCTTGTAAATGAGTTGGTTTTCAGCTTGGAGCCAGTGGGTACGATATCCAGACTGGAACCAAGGATGTCATTCAAGCAGGATCATGGCTCGGAGGAATGGACACTGTTATGGCACAAGATCAGGGATGGGTGGGAAGTCCTCTATGAGCTCACCCGTGTCTGTGCTAGCTGGGACTGTGCTGTGGCACCAATCGATACTGGACCTGTCGCGCTCTTCCATGACTGCACCCTAGAGCCCTGAACCTGAAGGTGTCTCGGGGCTGTAAGGTGGCCCGAGGACTCCCAGTGGCACTGTCACAAGCTCAAATAACTTGCTATTAAAGCTATTAAAGGATGCGGGGGGGTGTTCTTAAATGCAGCTATTTAGCTTTACATTATCCTGGTTTTCTCTGAAGTATGTGGTCTTGAGTGCTGCTTCTCTTCCTGCTCTGTTTCTGCAGCTGAACCAGCCTTTTCCTGAGGCTCCAGGCAGACCCTGGTACAAAACCCAAATGTGTCATAAAACCTTATGTGAGTTTGGTATTCTCTTTGATAACGCTAAGGATATTACTTGCTCTTCATGACATATCTGCTCGATTTGCTTTGGAAGTCTGTTTTTAAGGTATTGTCTCCTGATGGTACTAGTTGACCAGTATTTGTGGGTGCTAGGGAGAAGTAAAATCAGGTTGAAAGGTGTCCCCACTCTGGCAAAAGTTAAGAATAGATTCAGAAAATTAGTCCAGTGTGTGTTACTTTCTGCAGGGGTGGAGAGGTATATGTGTGAGATCTTGGTTTTTTACATTGAGGCGGCTCACTGAAGCTCCATCCTCTTCGCAGCATCTCTGTAAAATGTACATCAGCTCACATCTGAGTTCCTGTGGCCGTGGGGACCTGGAGTGTGTTTTTTTTTTTTTCCTGCGTTACTCTTGATTCTTATTTTTTTATTTTTTCTCCCTCTCAGGTTGGTTAGCTCTCTTCATGGTAGTGCTGAACCATGAAGTGTGGTAACACAATGTGTGTTTGTGCCTTACTGTTGTAATTGGCTGACTTAATTTTGTTTCTGCTCTTCCACATGCTACTGAGCTGTTCTCAGCTGAGTCTTGGGGAAAGATGGTAAAGTATTTCTCCATCTTCCTTAGGCATTCAGGCCTCTTCCAGTTGATGGTTCCAACAGCATGGAAGTTAAATGTAATAACTCTGTATTACGCGCCTCAAAACTACCAGAGAAATGAGCTCCTAAAAAACTCAACTCTCTTATGTGGTTTGTTCCAGGCACAGCTGCGAGCCTTCATCCCTGAGATGCTGAAGTATTCCACGGGTCGCGGGAAACCAGGCTGGGGCAAGGAAAGCTGCAAGCCCATCTGGTGGCCTGAGGACATTCCATGGGCCAACGTTCGCAGTGATGTCCGCACAGAGGAACAGAAGCAGCGGGTGTGTATCCCATGTCTGTCTGCCTTCAAATTGAGTTGCAGGGGCTTGTGTCCAGTTTTTGTGGGAATAGTTTTCCCCTCAAGTGACAGACGTTGGCCCTTTCTTGACTTCACATCACACATTCAACCTGGGAGAGCAATGAGATGAGAGGGGGTAACCTTCAATCTGCTCTGTCCCTGCTGGGGTTGTGTGACAAGCAGGTATTGGAAACACATCTCTTTTTGCAGCGGGTGCCCTTTTCGTTAGCTGCAGAACCTGCTCATCTCTGTGGCCTTATCAAGCAGCCTACCCAGCCTAAGACAAGTCTGCTCTCCAAGTATGCAGTTTGTTTACCGTAGAGTCTGTATTGTGGCCTCCTGAAGCCTTTGAAGGGATGCTGTCCCATCCTGAGCAGCAGGGACCTTTGTACTTAAAGGGGAGTAGTTAAGGATGTGCAGTGGAGCCAGGAAAAAAAAAAGGAGAGAACCAAGTGGATAGCAGTTATGGTCATGCATCCTGTATGCAGGTGATGTTCCCACTAACCTGTCACAAGGAAATAAAGAAAAAAAAGCCTCCAGGATGTGCAAGGGGCAGGACTTGTGCAGGCTGATGTAGGTCTGGCTGGAGGGGGACGGATGCCTAGTGAGGCTGGAAATGGCGCTGTGGCAGTAGGTGCTTTCCTAGGCAGCGATGGTTTTCTACTTGCCAGCCCCAATCACTTAGTTAGAATTCCTTGAAAGCTGTCAAAACAGATGTCATTGAGAAGCTTCCTTTTCCCTTGGCCAGATGTGCTTGTTCTGTATCAGTACGCAGCAATGCGATAGTTCTCCGGGGTGATTTCTGAGTCCTGGGGAAAGGAGGGGATGAGGAGAGAGGGATTAGGTATTGGGGCCTTTTGCTTGTTTGAGAATTCGTTGAAAACCGCCCAACAAAACCCAGTAAAGATAAGCAGGCAAATTGCAGCAGTAGCAGCACTGTGGTGGTTCAGAAAACCTTTTTTTACACTGACTCTTCACTCTCCTGGTAGGTGTCATGGACCCAAGCCTTGCGGACTATCGTGAAGAACTGCTACAAGCAGCACGGGCGTGAAGACCTGCTCTACGCGTTTGAGGATCAGCAGACACAGCAGCAGACTACGACCACACACAGTATAGCGCACCTGGTGCCATCGCAGACGGTGGTACAAACCTTCAGTAACCCTGATGGCACCGTGTCCCTCATCCAGGTGAGAGAAACCCTCCAGCTTTTCCATTTCCAGCACTGTTGACTTTGAACTGGGTTGCCTGCATCAGGGAGGTGGTTTAAAGCAAAATCCTCTTGGTAGCTTAACTTGTCCTTCAAGAATTTTGCCTTTATCTCCACGTCAAAGCCCAAAGGCTTGTTAACCCGATGCTCCCACTCAAAGAAGCAGTCTCATCCTCTCTCTTCCTCACTCCCATCCCTTGTCCTCCTGTTATGGCAGTATGAGTAGCTCTTTGGTCAAGCTATTCAGGGATCTGACCTGGATTTAACAAACCCATTTACAAACAGGTACAGTTCATCATGTGGCCACACAACGCCTGTGGTGGCAGCAGGATGCAGCGATGGGAGGAGCGGTGGTGGGACTGCCTTTCTTTAATGGCATGAAACATATCTTAATCTATGGCATTAGGTATTTCTGTGCCCCCTGTTCTTCATCTTACACCCTAAGCATAATATATATATTACACACACAAAATAATATATTTGTCCTCATGATACCCCCTATGGTAAGGATGCCTCTTACACCATTTTACAGAGGGGGATTCAGGCAGTGGCTCAGCGGTGCTGCTGTTTTCCCTGTGTTCCCCATATTGGGGAGGCAGGTTCTGGCAGCACAGGATGTCAAAAATTTAAGTGCTCTCTCAAAACTTCCCAAGAGCTCCTCGTGGGTGTGGGATTTGAACCTCAGTTTCCCCCGTGCCCCTGCTTCCAAACCACCACTGCCCTCTCATACCTAACTGGCCCAGCGGTTTGTCTCTCTTGAGCATCACGTTTTTAGTGAAGTCTCAAACATCGTTTTCTGTTGGCTGTTCTCATCTCACAACCGTGAAGATAAAAACAGGGTGTTTGGGGGGGTTTGGGAGTTGGTTTGTTTGGTTTTTTCCCCCAAATGAAAGCTTTTTGGCTATTGTTACAGCTTTCTGTTCCCCTACCAAGCCCTGCGGGCTTGCCAGGCTGGTTCTGTTTGCTCACCTGCTAATGTACATTTTCCCTTTGACGAGTGTTCTTATAGGTGCTGGGCACCTGAGAGCCCATTGACTTTCCAGCATTTATAGGTTTAATTCTCCTTAGAAACAAAGCTGCACATCTCCCTGCCTTTGTCTTTCCCCAGCTGTTAAATGGGGAACAGGTAATTTCCAAAGGCAGGGGAGTATTGAGGATGAGCTAATGTTTGCCAAGTGCCTGGAGACAAGAGACCCAGTGAATGGTAAGCAAGGAGCGTTATAAGTGAGGGCTGATGTGTAGGGTGTTCTGATCCAGGACTACTCGGTGGTTCTTCAAGTGACTTGCACCCCGTGGGAGAAGTGTGTTGGCTCTACCTGCACACCACGCTCACACCTGGGAATGGCAGCAGCGTCCCACAGCCGCTCTTTGCGAGGCTGGGAGAATAGCAAGGACCCTGTCCCCTACATTCACATAGGGGACAGCAAAACCAGCTTCTGGGCCATATCCACTCTGCAAGTTGTCATAGATTAACGTAGCTCTAGCATGTGATTTCCTCCCCCAGCCCTTTGAGACAGCTCCATATTTTCTGCAAGCTCTGCAATTCTCTGTGGGTGTGATGCCTTTTAATCTGAGAGCGTTTGAGTGTCCCTTTCCCTGAATTATGTGGACATTTTCCTGCAATAACAAATGTATTCACCTGCATTTTGTTGACTTCCATAGGTTGGCACCGGTGCTACAGTTGCCACGCTGGCTGATGCCTCAGAGTTGCCTACCACAGTTACCGTCGCACAAGTCAATTACTCTGCAGTCACTGATGGAGAGGTAAGGAACTGGGTCGTGTTCATGCTGCACAAACCAGAATTGTCCTATCTGAACTTCAATAAAGTTAAATATTTTCTAGAATTAAGTGGTCACAGAAAACACCACGCCTTGCTTCCCCACCCTGCAGTAGTGTTAAGGAATAACATACATGTGAACGCTCTAAAATTATATATAGAAAGTGCTGAACTGCTATCATTTTGACTCAGGACTGTACAAATGCAATTATGGTGGAAGCCTGAGTTCTGAATTTCATATATATTTTTTTTTTTTATATCTCCTATAGATTACTTATTTTGTGACATCTGCTGTAGCAGATAAAGACTTAATGACCTACACAAGTACACATTTGTGTATCCGTATGGAGTTTCATATGTGCTGTAGGTCCTGGGTGCTGGTTTGTCAGTTCAGGGTTGGGAGCGATGCCTGGGATGTTTTGAGGCTGTGGGTAGCAATGGATATTGCATGGCTGTGGGCAAATCCCGTGATTCTTTGGCCACTGATCTCTGGATAAAATGGGACTGTTCCTTTGCTGCAGCTTTACGGAGGTTTGCAAGTAAATCCCAGAGAGAGCTGTATAAGGGCACAGTCGTGTAGAGACGACAGGAGACGCTGCGGAGTTACTGTTCCGTTTGCTGTGAAAGTTTGTTCCATTTACTGTGAAAGTTTCTTTCACTGCTTTACAACTTGGCAAAGTTGCTTCTATTTGAGGACTTGATCAGACCATTTCAGTCCCAAAATCTGAACACTCAAATTTACATGCATTTATTTTTCTTTTTTTTTTTTTTTTTTTTTTTTTAAATTGAGTAATAAAGGGGTTTTGTGCATGTTTAAGGAACATTCCTTTATGGTTATGAAGATTTTTTTTTTTTTTAATTTTTTTTTTTTTTTGGTGACCCTCTTCACCCCCAAGCCCACCTTTAAACCAGGCTGCAGGTTGCGTTCTGTCCCTTCGCTGCACACCGGAATTTCTGGCCGGACAGTCTGTGCACAGGAGTGGCGAGGTCTGGTCCGCTCCGCGTGGATGGGGCTTTCGCAGCGACAGGTGGCAGCACAGAACGGCTTTGCTCCGCACCGGACCCTGTTTCCATCTCAGACCCACAATGGTGAAACAGCCTGGCTCTGGGACCTCTTAGCACTTCGCAGCTGCTCTGAGGGTTTTCAAGCACCAATTGTATCTCTTGAGAGCTGAAAGACATTTGTTTCAAAGGCACAAATAGAAATCAGGGGAGCACAGGCATCCAATTCCTAATGTGAACGGAACGTCTGGGCGATATCTTGGACAAAACAAAGATACAAAAATAAGCTTGCTTTGGGGATGGGCGCTGTTTCTCTCACAGACAGACTCACAGCCTGCTGGCAGCCTCTCTAGGGATGTTTTTGTCCTCCTGTCTCTTGCTGTGTGAAGATCTGAGTTAGCTCTGAGTAAATCGATGTGTTTATAGGACACTGAGCTCCGTGGAGCAGGGATGCTCACTCGTATTTCAGCAGCACAACCTTTGTGTTAGTGTGGAGAAGGGCCTGGACAGCCCCCCCGCTTCTTTTCCAGGCCTTACTCCATCCCTGTTCTGAAACAGCTTAGGCATCTTTGCGGGGCACTGTATGTCACAGTGGAGACCTGCCTTATTGCTCAAATGTGTGTTGTCATATATTTGGGGGGGAAAAAAAAAAAAGTATGTCTGTTCCTCTTCTGCATGGTGGTGGGAAGGGTGTCTTTCCCAGCTCGGGCTTGCTTCAGTTCGGTTTTGGCTAACGAGTACCACAAACTCAATCCGACTTCTCTCGAGATCTGTGCCATCTGCAACTTCTTCCTCTCTGGGCACTCAAACTTGGTTGCATCTTTCCTAAAAGACATTGCCTTCTCTAAAATCAACTTCCTTTCTCCTTTTCACAATGCACTATCTCACTGCTTCCTCCCTGCTTTGGATCCTTCCGCCCAGGGTCAGCTCTGGGCACAGGAGAATGAAGCAGTTGCCTTGAACGTCAGACGGCTGGGGATGGCTAAAGAGCTACGACGAGCGCCAGCTTTGCCTGTGCCCAAGTGCTGGAAAACCAGATTGGCAGCTGCTGAGGAGTGTGTGATAGCAGATGTGAGTGAGAGCACGACAGCTTCTCTCTCCCTTTCCATCCTCTGATGGGACTAACCCTTTTCTTGCCCAAAGGCAGCAAGACTTGTCCTTTTGTGGGGAGCCTTGCACCAGCTCTGCTTCTGTGGACTTTTTAGCTTTCTCCATCTTAACAAATCAAGGGGTTTTTTTTCATCACCTTCTATGGCATTCTTATTTGTGAGCCTCAGCAAGATGGTGAGCGGCCTGAAATGGATATGGGGATGAGAACAGTGATGGGTGGGTGGGGGAAGATCTTCATCTTGCAAGCAGCCGGTAGGGTTTGTCAGCTGATGGGCCTTCATCCTCCACTTCTTTAGTTTTTTTGGTCCAGTGCATATTTCTAGTTCACATCCTGGTGGATTTTGTGGCTGTACAGTCATTATTTGTGAAGTCCCAAATGGAGAAGCATGGGCAAGGTGGAAAATGAGCAACTGAGACTGGGTGAACTTTAAGTAATATGGAATCTATCTACGTAAAGGTCTGAAGTAAGGGAATTGGAAGTACCTGAAGTATATGAACAGAGTACTTTCCATCTGCCATCTTCTTTTATTAAGTATATTGCTGCAACACAAAGAAATTCCAGTTGGCTCAAACCCATCCGGGTTCACAAGTGCTGTACAAATAAATCCTGAACGGGAACGTGGACTGTTCCCCAAAACGACAGCGGATGGGTGCAGAAAAATCGAAACAGTGAGGCAAGCACAGCCCGTTTCCATGGGGGATGTGATCCGCGCTGGGGTTCCAGCACCACAGAAATGCAGCTACTTAATAAAGTGCCCAGGCTGGCAGGCAGTGATCGGAGTACAGCAACAATCAACACTGTCCCGTTTTGTTGCAGGCGTGGCTGGACAAAGAGGGGTTTGTGGGAGGTTGAGGGGCTTCACAGATGTTTATGGGGTGCGTTTTCCATGTGTGTGAGAAAACTAAAGTTCCTGTTGAAACATATGGAGAACAGCAACTACAATCGTGGGCTGACTGTAGAAACTCACTCGTGGCTGATAGAGGGTTGTAGAGTCCAGCAATGTTCTCAGGCTGGGCTTCCTCCCTTGGTGCTCTTTTTTTCCCTGTCTCTTGGAGAGAGTCAGAGCATGTGCAGGATTCTGCAAAGACCTCTCAAAACTACCTGGCTCTTTCATTTTAGGAAGCAGACGTCCATTCATATGACGATGACCAATCCTAGGGCATTTCTTTTTGTTTTTCCCCGCAGGTGGAGCAGAACTGGGCAACGCTACAGGGGGGTGAGATGACTATCCAGACGACGCAGGCATCAGAGGCCACGCAGGCGGTGGCGTCATTAGCAGAAGCAGCAGTGGCAGCATCTCAGGAGATGCAACAAGGAGCAACTGTTACCATGGCACTCAACAGGTATGGGTGAGAGAGGAAGGCTTGAAGCATGTGTGCATGACGTTTCCATCTAGGTTTTCATGCTCATGGTGCAAAGACCACTGTATACAGTCGCAGTAGAGGTGTCTCCTTAGGAAATTATGTCAGCCTGTGTCCAGGTGTCTGCAGGACGGTTCCTGATTTCTACTGTCACCATAGAAGAACACTGATGTGGAAATTTCTTGAAAAAGATGGGTAGGAACTGTACCCTCTAAACAACTGGTCGCAGGTGCGCGAAAACCAGATTGGCAGCTGCTGAGGAGTGTGTGATAGCAGATGTGAGTGAGAGCACGACAGCTTCTCTCTCCCTTTCCATCCTCTGATGGGACTAACCCTTTTCTTGCCCAAAGGCAGCAAGACTTGTCCTTTTGTGGGGAGCCTTGCACCAGCTCTGCTTCTGTGGACTTTTTAGCTTTCTCCATCTTAACAAATCAAGGGGTTTTTTTTCATCACCTTCTATGGCATTCTTATTTGTGAGCCTCAGCAAGATGGTGAGCGGCCTGAAATGGATATGGGGATGAGAACAGTGATGGGTGGGTGGGGGAAGATCTTCATCTTGCAAGCAGCCGGTAGGGTTTGTCAGCTGATGGGCCTTCATCCTCCACTTCTTTAGTTTTTTTGGTCCAGTGCATATTTCTAGTTCACATCCTGGTGGATTTTGTGGCTGTACAGTCATTATTTGTGAAGTCCCAAATGGAGAAGCATGGGCAAGGTGGAAAATGAGCAACTGAGACTGGGTGAACTTTAAGTAATATGGAATCTATCTACGTAAAGGTCTGAAGTAAGGGAATTGGAAGTACCTGAAGTATATGAACAGAGTACTTTCCATCTGCCATCTTCTTTTATTAAGTATATTGCTGCAACACAAAGAAATTCCAGTTGGCTCAAACCCATCCGGGTTCACAAGTGCTGTACAAATAAATCCTGAACGGGAACGTGGACTGTTCCCCAAAACGACAGCGGATGGGTGCAGAAAAATCGAAACAGTGAGGCAAGCACAGCCCGTTTCCATGGGGGATGTGATCCGCGCTGGGGTTCCAGCACCACAGAAATGCACCTACTTAATATAAGTGCCCAGGCTGGCAGGCAGTGATCGGAGTACAGCAACAATCAACACTGTCCCGTTTTGTTGCAGGCGTGGCTGGACAAAGAGGGGTTTGTGGGAGGTTGAGGGGCTTCACAGATGTTTATGGGGTGCGTTTTCCATGTGTGTGAGAAAACTAAAGTTCCTGTTGAAACATATGGAGAACAGCAACTACAATCGTGGGCTGACTGTAGAAACTCACTCGTGGCTGATAGAGGGTTGTAGAGTCCAGCAATGTTCTCAGGCTGGGCTTCCTCCCTTGGTGCTCTTTTTTTCCCTGTCTCTTGGAGAGAGTCAGAGCATGTGCAGGATTCTGCAAAGACCTCTCAAAACTACCTGGCTCTTTCATTTTAGGAAAACCCCAACGGGGGGGGGGATGACTATCCAGGCGACGCAGGCATCAGAGGCCACGCAGGCGGTGGCGTCCTTAGCAGAAGCAGCAGTGGCAGCATCTCAGGAGATGCAACAAGGAGCAACTGTTACCATGGCACTCAACAGGTATGGGTGAGAGAGGAAGGCTTGAAGCATGTGTGCATGACGTTTCCATCTAGGTTTTCATGCTCATGGTGCAAAGACCACTGTATACAGTCGCAGTAGAGGTGTCTCCTTAGGAAATTATGTCAGCCTGTGTCCAGGTGTCTGCAGGACGGTTCCTGATTTCTACTGTCACCATAGAAGAACACTGATGTGGAAATTTCTTGAAAAAGATGGGTAGGAACTGTACCCTCTAAACAATCTTATTTGTACAGCAAGGGTCCGGTTGCAGAATTGAGCCTACTGAGCAAGCAAAAGTCGTTATGTGCTAATAGCACCCTTAAGTATGCTGGTCTGGGTCTCCCTCAATATTATTAATGGTTCTTACTAAAAGGCTAGGGCTGAATTTCCCTGTTGTGTGGCAGTATGACCTCTCTTCAGAAATCAGAATCTTTTCCAAAGGCCAGTGTTTTGGGGGTTTCTCCCAAATATGTTTCTGAAGTAGAAGCTGAACGAGCTGCAATAGTAATGCTGCCTTTTCCTCTCAGAATGAGCTCCATTAGATTTTTGGTTGTACTTGGGTTACCAAGATCTGCAGCATAGTTCTCTACCAGGTCCATGCAGCAGGAAGCAGTGTCCTTGCTCAGCTCTGGTGAGTTGCCTAAGCTTTGCCTGCTGTTCTTAAAAACTGGAAATGGCTGTGGCATGCTGCAGTTGCAGCCCCGAGAGAGCGGGCGGACCATAGGAAACATGGCATCAGCCCCAGCAGCATGGGAGTTTCACAGTGTTGAGGTGTAGGAAAAAATATTTTCCTCATCCAAATTGGGATTCTGGTCTAGAGGATGTTGACTGAGCAGTCATGGGTTAGGACAAGGCACAAGTCCATAGTGCTGGTGGTTGGAGTAAAACTCCCAGACCTTATATACACAAATTGCTAAAGGAGCCACCTTGATCCTGGGGGCATTCAACATCTTGCTTCCAAATTGCTGTTGCAACTGAACCACGAACACACCTAGAACCATTTATTTCCTTTGTGGTCCACATTCAAGTCCATCAGATATGTTCTTTCATGCTGCCATATGAGGTTGGTTAAGTAGGCTTTTTTGCTAGTAGTTTCACTGTAAAAATGCCTTTTAAAAACAAGTGATCTTTTTAGGATGCTGTAAGAGGAACAACTAAAGTAACTAGGCACGGAGTTTCAGGAAAAAGCCCCATCTCCTGGAATCCAAATTGCAGGATCTGTACCCTGCGCATCTCCAGTTGATAGATTTTTCTATGTATTTTTGGAGAAGTTTTTCTGGACTAGAACACCAGCGTGCTTTTGATTTAATTTCATCCCATCGCTACTAGTTTTAGCTCTGAAGGTTGTTCATTTTCCTGTATTAGCTTAAGAAATTCAGAATCTTTAATAACAAGAAGCGTTGTTAGAACTAAGGAGAGTCTCCTAGGAATTATGAATGGAAGAGCCTTCAACAAGTCATTTAGTCTCTACTGTGCCTCAAGACAGGATGAGCTCTGCTTATACCCAGGAAAGCTCTGTGAGGTCTGTTCAAACAGCTTGTAGTTCAGAGGCAAAGCGAAGGCTGTAGCAGCCCTGCAGTGGGAATGAGGGGCCTTGTGTTTTATTTCCCTGTCTGTTGTCATCCTCTTTGTCTACTGACTATGGTAGGGCTGGAGGCCTTTCTAGGTGACTATCCTCCAACACCCTTCCGTGTGGGAGAGGTGTACTTTTTCCTTTGCCACAGAATGCTCCTTGTAGCTTTCAGCTGTAGGACTACAGTCTTCCCCCTGCCTGTAGGAAGATCTCAGCAAGGCTCTGGTCCTTGAAAGCTGGTGGTTCATCCCAGCTCCATTTTAGGCCTAATTTAGCTGAAAGCTGCCATCTCTGAATCTTGTTCCAACGTCTGCCGATGGAGCGCAGCGTCTTCCATGGTCCCATGTAGAGCAGCACATCTGCCAACAGTATGATATGATGGACGACGCAACCTCTGTCAGGTTTGAGGATGGGAAGTATTAGGCCTTCTAGTAAAAGAGGACAAAGTGGAGGTAGGTAATTCATTGATTTGAACCAATTAATGTTTGGGGAGCACACTACTGGAAGAAGCTTTTATGCCACAGATCATTATTATTTTCAGGGATGCAACCGTAACAGATTATTAAAATGCTCAATTGCCCTTGAAAGTGGATTCAAATACGTGCTGTGTGAAGTCTGGGAAACAAGGTTACACCAGTAAATCCATGCTTACGCCTGGGTTTGTGCTGTCGTTGGCCTTCCTGCAGCGTAACTGTCTTCACATAGCTGCAGGTTCAGAAGAGAGAATAGCCAAAGGGAGTAAGAAAGTGGAACAAAAAAATACTCTGGTTCACTGACAGTGTTTAAGAGTCACTCAGAGGGGCAATTTAGAAATGAAAATACACCCTGTGTGAATACAGTTGGAAAGCATACAGCTTCTAAGCAGGAAATTAGGGAAGAGAAGGAATGAGTAGGAAGTACTTGGAAAATATTTGAGTTGATTCATCTACCAGAGGATGAGTGGGGCAGTTAAAGAGGAGCGTCCTAGGGGAAGCTAAAGAAAACACCTACTTTTTTAGTTCATTAAGGTAAGAAATGGTAGGAGATTGAGATGCACGAAGGAGGTTGCTTTGGAATAATTTTGTGACTAGCCGTAGGTCACCAGAAGTAGCTAACAGTCATCCAAAAGGTCTGGAGAAATCTGGAGAGCTGCTGAAGGATGCTCACAGCACTCTGTGGAACCAAATGACAAATAAAATATGGTGTCAATAAATGCAAGTGATACATGCATGAAGAAATATCTCCTGGTTATACCAAATGAGGAACTATAAATGTTACCAGTTACCATTCAGAAGGTGTTCAGGGAACTGTCCTCCAGGAATGTTTTATGACTGCTGAGCAGGTATTGTCAAAGGAGGAAGTTGAATATTAGGAATTATACGGAAAAGCATAGAGAACAAGCCAGGATTAGGCCCCTGGACTAACTCATGGCATGTCTGTCTTGAATAGTGTGAGAAATGGTCACACCTCCCCCTCAAACAGATGTCTTACATTTAGAAAAGGTCTGGAAAGGACAAGAGCGATCAGAAGCCAGGAGGAGTCCTTGCACAGTAAGTGGACTACAGTTCTTCAGCTTGGGAAAGAGATTACTGGAAGCCCATGAAATCATGAGGAAAAGAAGAAGGGAACAGTTATTTTTCTATTTCTCACAATATCAGACTGAAGGGCTGCCCAGCCAGACTGAGGTGGTTGTTTTCTGAGTACCAAAATGCAATTTTTCTTCACATAGCATCTAATTAAATGTGGAACTCATTGCTACAGGATGTTGTGGAAGCAAGAAGTCTAAATGGGTTTCAAAGGGGATTAGACAAATCAAACCCGATGGTCCAGATGCAGTCTCTGATGTAGGAAATCAATACACTGCTGATCGTCGGAAGCTGAGAGGGTGTAGGAAGGGAAGGATCATACACACTCCTTCCTAAATATCCAATACTGGCTGTTCTCGCAGCAGGGTTGCTGCGTGAGAAGGACCTTTGCTCTGACCTCATTCGTATGAAGAAATTTAAGAATACCATGCTAAGCTACCAATCACTCGTTAAAAAAGAATTATTAAACCACTTGGCTGGGGAAAAGTGGGGAAAAGTACTCCGTCTTAGCTAAATACAGAGCTGCTGATGTGATCCTGGTGTAATGGTAAACCTCTGTGCCTGTTTCAGTGCAAGGTGAACCGGCTGAATCAGTAATGAAGGGTAAAGCTCTGAAATATGTAGCGACTCAGAATGTGACAGTGCCAAAAGAATGGTTTTTGTACCAGAAACCAGAGACAGGAAGGAGCCACGTGGTATAACTTGGATTGTCAGAAAGCTTTTAGTAAAGTCCCAAGCAAAAGGATGCGAAGGTAAAAAGGCAGGGATGTTCTAAGAGATCCGCAAGCTGAAAAAAGCCAGAGGAAGCAGCTTCTTCCCATGTATTCCTCCCACGTAGATTCTCTGCTCTGGGTAACTTCATCTGGGCCCAGTAAGAATCCCTCCTTTCTGGTTTTGCTCTCTTGACGTACGATACCTGGTTAAAACGAATGCTACTGGAGTGGAGTTATTTGGTTTGTCTTCCTAATTGTTCTTTCTCCTTTCCTGTGCCCACAGTGAAGCAGCTGCCCATGCAGTCGCCACGCTTGCTGAAGCCACTCTTCAAGGTGGAGGACAAATTGTCTTATCTGGTGAAACTGCAGCAGCAGTAGGAGCACTTACTGGAGTCCAAGATGCCAATGGTAAGGCTGCTGGAAAGCTTTTACTTTGGTGGTTTTTTTCTTTGCTCTTAGCTAGGGGGTTTTTCTCTCTTTAACTTGAAATATCAAGTTTTCTCTAGTGAAATAGTTTTCCCTCGCTAATTAGGTTGTGACTTAAAATCTCAGAACAAAATGGTAGCACTAACCTCTGGTTTACTTCTGTAAACTTCTGGTGGCTCTGCTCTTTTCCTCCTTCTGCCAGCTTGCTATTTAGCCTTAGATTTTGGGGGGGAAAACTGCTCCCCACTCTGTATCCGTACAGCGCCTAGCACAGGGAGGGCCAGACTTGGTCAACTAACACAACTAGTCAGTGCTATAATAAACTCCTCTCCAAAACACTTCACTGCGAAGTGGCAGAGAGTGTGACCAATGTTTTATTACCCACGTGTTTCCTTCCTTTCTCAAGACTTTTTTTTTGTACGCTTGGTGGCTGCTCTTGAGCAACTGTTGCTTTTCTGCTTGGGTGGCACCTCCTGGTCATCCCTCTGCAGTCAGCCTCGGGTTGTTTGCCTCCTGCTTTATTTTCTGTCTTGCCACCGTAGTCAATCACTTGTTTCTAGGGATTCTCTGTAGCGTTTCTCACCTATTATCTGGGTGTCTCTTCTGCCACGTCTGGTGACTTTCGCAGTTATTCAAACTAAGCTGGTAGTGAATAAAACAGTAAATTCATAGAAGCTGGTTCAAGAGACGATACTGGAACGTACGAACGTGTCTAGTTGGTGCTCATCCACTGCCTCCAGTTGCGCTGTACTTCTGCCTGATGCCTTTACCATGCTTTCCCAGTTCAGAGATGAAACTCACTGGTTATCTTGATGAAATGGAGGGAGGTTTGTCCAAATAAACTCAGGAAGGAGGCAAAGTGTGAAGTTGTAAAGAAATGTTGCCTTGAGGATGGGGCTACTTGGACTTGTAATTGCCAAAGGGGGAACAAGCACGTGCAGTCGGCTGGCAGAGTGATGACTTCTTGCCTTGTCACTTTGCATGTAAAGTAGAAATCTGGCTAGATGAGACCTCGAGTTTGACTTCCATCAAAATCCTCATCTCGTAGGGAGTGCACTTGCTTTAAAACATCAATATTTAGTTTGCAGCGAAAACGGTGGAAGGAACAGTAGTTTTACTCAGGGTGTTCGACTTGATGCCTCTTGCTGTGGAGTCAGCCAGCCTCAAGAGGGAGCAGAAATGAAGTGAAAACCCCTGTCCTCAGCGCTGGGAATGCATCGGATATTGAGAGGGAAGAGTTAGGGTTATGGTGTATTACACTTTGCCGGCAGCCCGGCGTGAGGGGGATGAGAGATGTGTGTTTATCGAAGGAAGGATCTGACCCTGGATGCTCAAAACCAGCAACTAATCAGATTTGTGAAAGCATGTTAGCGTCCTTTAGCAGATCTGCACCCCTGGCTCCTTTTGGTCTGCTTCCAAAATGCTTTCACAGTCTGGATTCCTCCGGATGCTTCCCCTAAACAACTCTCCCCCTCCACACCCTTCCTGAGTCACTCTACCTCACTCACCCAGCATTAATATAATTTTACTGCGGGCTGGGCTTTTTTTTTTCCTCCCCCTTTTTTTTTTTTTTTTAGTAGCAGAGTTGGAAATCAGATGGGATTTAGAGTGCATTAAGGGGAGAGCCTGCAGCATTTTCCTCTGTGCAAAACCTCGCCCGCAGCCCCTTGCCTTGTTTCCACTCTTCTTCGATTTGCTCTAATCTCCGGTGGTATTAAGGGGAAGGGCTTTGTCGGCGCGGTAGTCCTTGGAAGCGCCATGCTATTAGTTTTATTACGTAACCAGCTAATATATCTCCCTTAGGGATGGAGGAGATGTTGGTATCCATTCCCGCTGTCTCTGTCTGGGGATGGAGAGCAGATGGATTTTCAGTGTTGGCACGGTCGCGGAGGATTTGTCTGCCTTCTCCATACCCTGCAGCCCAGGGTGTGAGTGTGAGCCATCCTCCTGGACACCGGTGCTCCGTTATCTGATGCAGTGGGGTCACACCACTCTGCGTGCCGTTCTGTCGGGAGGAGATTTGGTGCGATCGGTTGCAGGAAGGAGAGAGGGAAAATGACTGCCAGAGCCATAATGGTTTTAACCAGCAAATTCCCCCTGCTCGCTGTTGCTTGCAAAGTCTTAATTTGCCGATATTTCCCATGAACGCTTCTCTCTAGGAATGCTCTTACCCTTCTGTAGGTCCCTTCAGAGGGATTCCGAGCCCTTACCCACACCACTTTTCCTGGAGGGGGCGTAAATTTATGCCCATCTTATTGATAGGGAAACTGAGACAGTGGTTTAACAAATTTGCTTGAGGTCAGGTGTTTCATTCCTGATTTTAGCCATTAGATGTAATTATTCTCTTTTTAAAATATTTTGTTTCTATCTTGATACGGTATTTTTCCCATCCGTTCTCTGGCATCTGAATAATAATTGATACGAAGAGAACTAAGACTGCCAAGAAGAGGCAACTTCTGTACGTTTGTGGATGTCTCGGAAGCTAGGGCTGAATTCGGGGAGTAGGGAGCCCAGCAGCGTGGCTGAACCACAAAAGGGCTACGGATAATCTTGTGATCACTTACATTTATAGCCAAGGGAAATAAGATCTCCTGCTCCCATGCAGTGTCAAACTAGCTAAGTGCATTATGGTTTTCTTGCTGCTCTGGAGCATCTGCTCTGAGTCAGGATGCTGGAACCGATGACCCCATGGTTTGAGCCTCAGATGTTTTGTTCTTAAGTGGCTGGCATTAAAGCAAAGTAATATTCAAAGCAAGCAAAGGCGATTGTAGCAGCACCGATTTCTGAAGTTGGCTGGAAAGTGAAAATGCTCTGGTAAGAGGAAACTGCATTCGGGGGCCGCTTTCGGTGTGCCCTATGGGCAGCTCTGTGTGATGGAGCCGTCCCAGCCCACCGGGGCTGGAGGAAACTCGATGGGCGTTGGGAAGGAGAGGTGACGGTGCCAGCCTGCAGTCTGGGCCTTGCTCGCCGGAGCATCCTCATACTCCAGCCTTTTGTTTGACATTGATCTGATCGGGGGCTTGAAAGCTGCTTGGGCTACGGGCTTCCTGGCTTCATCTTGAAATATTGATGAAGCTTTTGCCTAAGCAGTACCCGTGCAGGGCTTTAGCAGTGTGCAGGGCTGTCCGTGAAGGACAGAGCAGACTCCCCGCCCATGGAAGGGCAGTTTAATGGCCTCGGTGTCACCACAAGCCCGGGGTTATTGCAGTTTTGAGCAGCATGCAGCATTTTGAAGAGCTGGTTTGGAGGCGAGAGGGGTGGCGTGCTTGAAGCTCCAGCTGAAGTTCAAAAACCCCATGGAAGAAGGCGTGGTGGACAGAGCTGAAGTTGGGAAGCAGAGAAGTGGAAGATGTGAAATCAAGCTGTGATCGAGGAATTGATTTAACAGCCCCGAGCTAGGTGCAGCCAGAGACCCAATGGATCCTTGCTTGTGCACCTTGACCCTCACGGGTGGCAACTGCTGCCCTTTTTCCCGTCCCCAAAGCACGTTTTACTGATTTATCTCCTCCCTGTGCTGCTGGAGATGCTCCTGGGAGCACTAATGTGCCTGGTGGTGGTGTGGCAGCATAGAGGTGGGCACTAAGAGGAGCCTACAGTGAGTCTTGCCCTTCTCCACGCCCCCCAGTCATCCAAAAAATTCAAACCCAGTTCTCCATCCAACCAAAGGGAGCCGTGCTTACGGCTGGGGATGAGGCAGGATTATCAAATTGTGATGGAAGCCTGGGGAGAGCATTAGGACTCTATGACGTGGGCGAAGGGGGATTAGCAAGCTCTCTGCTTTCGCAAACAGAGGAAATAAGGTGTCGGTACAGGGGCGTATCTTGCAAGTTAGCATAGGATAAACAAGCCTATAGTGGCATTTAGGGTGATGGGGCACTTGCTGCACAGAAGAGGTGTTCTGCTTGGCGATTTCTATATCAGAAGCTGTTTAAATGCTGAAAAGCCTTCAGCTCTGGGTGAGGCTGCCGAGCTTCCTGCACAGAATCAGTAAGGTGTCAGGTGGAAACCTGTCCCCACCCTCGGCTGCGCAGATGGGAGATGGGGAAACCCTGCTCTCGGCAGCAGAGAGACCTCCAGGCCTGGAGCACGGTTGCCAGTCCTGTCGGGCTCTGTGTAGGCTGTTTACAGTTGAAAGCACATCCAGGAGGGGAAGGCGGGAGTCGAGATCCTGTTCTCTGGGCTGTGCGCCTCTCCTGGAAAACGCGAAAGCAGAGGGGGGCTGCGGTGGGCAAACCCAGCGAAGGGAACTGCCTGTTCTTGCTTGTGGATGCCTCGGGACAGGGAGGTGCGGCACACTGATCCGCTGGTGACTGGTGGCTTTTTTGCATGAGTTTAAAAAAAAAAAAAAAAAAAAAAAAAAAAAAAAAAAGGATGGGGGGAGGCTTGGAGGCTGATCTGCTGCAAATGTCAGTCTCTAAAAGAAATCTTTTTTTTCCTGTTGGATCCCCTTTTTAGGGAAGATGGACCCAAATGAGTCGCTAGCAACTTCGCAAAGCGCAGATCAGCTTGCTTGCATCCAAGCAGACAGGAAGGAGAGAGTCGAGCTTTGCGTAGGGTCTTCTCAGTGCGAACAGTTTTTTTTAATGAAGTATTGCCCTGAAACAGGTATGTTTTAATCCCAATCTAAAGGAAAAGTGAGGAAAATAATTTTTGCAGTTGTGTTTCAGGTAACAGGGGAGAAGAGAGGCCAGTGGCAGCCACCAAGGAGAGCCGAAGTGGATGAGTGTGAGTTCCTGGTTGAATGTGCTGAGCTGGTCCAGGAGCAGGGAGAGGTGTTTCCGAGAGGCTGAATTACTGTGAATAAATGAATTATTGTCAGCAACGGGGCCGTGATGCACTCTGAGTACAATATATTGGCATAAGCCTCAGTTAAAACGAGCTTATTCTGTGTCAAGTACATACAGTTCCCTGCTTGTGCCCTGTAGAGGAGGGGGGGGCACTTGACTGCAGCTCAGCCATCTCTGCGTCTGCACCCTTTCCAT